TTTAATTTTATCCGAACGTTTTGAATCTTCTAAGTTTATTAATAAATTTATTAATACTCATGCCAGACTCGTATTCAGCGACCCCGAAAACCCCCACAAAAACGAGTTCTAAGCAAATTCTGTTCATTTTTTATTTTTGCGTCCGCCATATCGGATCCGCCATTTTCAATTTTGAAACTCTGATGCCAGATTTGTATTCAGCGACCCCAAAAACCCCTGAGTAACCAGTTTCAAGCAAATTCAGTTTATTTTTAATTTTCGCGTCCGCCATATTGGATCCGCCATTTTGAATTTTGAAAATCTGATGCCAGATTCGTATTCAGCGACCCCAAAAACCCCCGAGTAACGAGTTCCAAGCAAATTCTGTTTATTTTTTATTCTCGCGTCCGCCATATTGGATCCGCCATTTTGAATTTTGAAAATCTGATGCCAGATTCGTATTCAGCGACCCCAAAAACCCCTGAGTAACCAGTTTCAAGCAAATTCAATTATTATTAATTTTCGCGTCCGCCATATTAGATCCGCCATTTTGAATTTTGAAAATCTGATGCCAGATTCGTATTCAGCGACCCCAAAAACCCCTGAGTAACCAGTTTCAAGCAAATTCAATTATTTTTAATTTTCGCGTCCGCCATATTGGATCCGCCATTTTGAATTTTGAAAATCTGATATAGTTTAGGATCTAATTTGTAAAGAAAAAAAATTATCATTTAAAAAATTAGTAAGGATAAGTAAAAAATGAATTTTTTCTGAAAAAGAAGCATTATTTTTTGTTATTTATTTGTTTATAATATTTTTATTATTAACAAATTGTGAATCAACAGTTTTCTTAGACTTGTTTAGGTATGAGGAACATGCCCGGATAAAAAACCCTAAATTTATTAATAAATATGCCATAGAAATACTGAAAACTGAGAAGGAAAAGGTGGGTCGCTGGGCGACCCACTGTGACGCAAAGGGTTAATTACCATATGCTGTTTTGTCATACCTGCACGGAAAGTATGTCATTTCGGGCACTTAGAGCGAGCGCAAAGTATCTCATTCCCACCCAGGGGTAGGGGAAGCGGGCGCAAAATATTTTGCGCCCGCATGTTAATAATTATTCGATTTTCTTTATTAAAATGCGATATTTTCGACTTTCTTTTTATGTTAACTATAAAAATACAAACATTTTCAACTTTTTTTATTTTGTCTATAAAAATGTGCAATTTTTTTCAAATTTCTCTAAAAAAATTATGACAAATTTGGTTTTGTTCCCATTTCAGTTGTAAAAATTGTCAATTTTAAATACATTGTTTTCTTATTTCTATATTAAAACTTTTATCATTATAGACTTCAAAAAATTAACATTTATATAGGGTTTAATTTTTAACTAATATGAGCGTTTAATCGTTCGTGCCCTCAACGACATACTGTCCATGCAGTTAGGACAAAATATTATGTTAGCATCATGGGCGCAAAGGTGATTACTACCTGTTTTGCGCCCTTGATACGAAAATACTTATTCTGTGCCTACACAGAAAGAAATAGTTCCTGAAAAACTACAAAAGTTAGTTTAGTAGCCCAGGCTATCGCGACCATTTCAGCAATTATTCAAACTTGTCTTTTTCAATAAGTAATAAACTATTTTGGAAATAATCCAAGGTATTTCAACACTTTCTGTTGTAATGAATAATAAGAATTCAAGAGGGAATCAAACAAAAATTTGCTTAGTTTATTTTAGAAATGTTAAAGAAACTTCCTAACTTATTGTTGAGTTACCCTGTGACATTCTCATAAAGTCTCATCTGAAGAATTACGGAACAGTTTCTAAAAAATCCTGAGCTAAGAAAAACGAAAAAAAAATTATTTTTTTTCCTTTTCCATTACTCACACTATCATCTTTGAATGCCAACACAGGTTATATATTTTATATGTATACATATGCCTCTTTGTTATTATAATATACTCACATACACAAACACATTTTATTTTATTCAGAATAATCTGAAACAGAAAATCAATTTTAGAGAAAATTTGACAGCGGATGGATTAGAACTCTCGTCTCCAGGTGCAGAAGTCCGGTGTGTTTCCTCGAATCTAAAACAGGTAAACAACTACTGTTTCTTAAGGGTATGTGGAATCAGCCAACTTCAATTAATACATGTAGGTGATTCTCCTGAAAGGGACCACTTCACGTGTCTCCAACATGAGGTTCATTATTTAAATTAATTTTTCATTAATATTTTATCAAGTTTAAATTTTTTGAAAAATTTATTTATAATCTACGAAGATTTATCTATCTTTATATAATCTTCTATTGCTTATATTTAAATTTCTTCCTATTTAAAAAACATATTTAATTTTGTCATCGAATTTTGGTTAAACAGAATGTATATTTTATAATTATATTTTAACGTATTTAAACAATTTCAACATATTTATGATATATATCAAATTAAAGTTTAGAATATAAGAATTATTTTTTACTTACATTTGTTTAAAATAAGGTAAAAAAAGTTATTTAAATTATTAATTAAAATAGTATTATCAATGAGAGTAAAAATTAAATTCATCTCCGAAGCCTCATTTTCTATATAATAACATCATATTTTTTAACGTTTTAAACATAATATGTAATCGATGTGAAAATATTTGATGATTAAAACTAAAAATATTGTTTAAAAAATTGTAATATTTTTAAAATTAGAAAAAATGAGAATTTTTTCATTAAATTATCAATTCATCTGCGAAGCCTTTTTTATATTTGATAGGCGTTTTCTTTTGTTTTTAATTTTTTAATCATTGTTTTAAAATATTTAACCCTCAAATTAAATTATTAATTTAATAAAAATAAAATATACAAGCAAAAAGTGCAATAAATTAAAACATAACAATTTATTATTTAAAAAAAATATTCCTACCGAGTTTTTTTTACAAAATAATTAATTTAAAAGTTATAATTAATTATACTTAACCTCTAGAACACATGATAGTAAAATGTTCCTGGAGGTCTTATTTCTGAAAATTAATTTTGCGCAACTTATATTTTTATCTTTAAACATTTTCTAAACTTATTTATGAAAGAAAAGTAACAAAAAAAGAATAATTTGATTTTTTGGAAATTCAACCAAAAAAGGGTCCCTTTCAGGAGAATCACCCATGTATTATTATTCCCACCGGTTTTCTAAAAAAATATTTAATAAATCTTGACAAAATATAAGAAAAATAATATTTTATTTATTGAGGCATGGATCTCTAGTCCAATTAATACAAAAATTTGCTTTTAAATATTATTTTTCATTTAATAAAAAGTTTGATATTTTTTGAGAAAAAAGACAATCAAATACAAATTAATATTGAAAAAAATGAATAAATTTATATTTTTCTATGTTAACATTCATTTTTTTCAATGGCAATTTGTATTCGATTGTCTTTTTTTCTCGAAAATTGTCAAAAAAATGAAAGTTTGAATAGAAAAATATAAATTTATTCATTTTTTTCAATATTAATTTGTATTTGATTGTCTTTTTTTCTCAAAAAATATTAAACTTTTTATTAAATGGAAAATAATATTTAAAAGCAAATTTTTGTATTAATTGGACTAGAGATCCATGCCTCAATAAATAAAATATTATTTTTCTTACATTTTGTCAAGATTTATAAAATATTTTTTTAGAAAACCGGTGGGAATATTAATACATGTATTAATTGAAGTTGGCTGATTCCACATACCCTTAACAGAAATCTATAAGGAACGGTAGTCAAAAAATTATCTTATTGGTTCAGACTAGCGCGCTTTTTGAATTGCTCGAATTTCTACCAATCGACAAGTGCGATAGTTGATTGTGAACGGTGACTTAATGCAACTCAACACGTGAATACGACCGATCGGTGCGGCAACGGTCAACTGCGCACCGCAGTCAATTCCGAGTTCCGGAATTTTTCAGGTTTAACTCCTGAAGACTATGGCGAGTAAAAGTAAAAGTTAGGAAAGCAAATGGAAATAATCATTCGAAATTTTGTAAGATGTTGGAAACATTTCAAAAAATACTATTAAACTTTTTTTGAAAAAGTACGAAAAAAAGTACTGAATTATTTTTAGGTTCACCTGAAGAGTTTCGTACTTTTAACAAAACACTTTGTGATTTACAATAAAAATTCTGTACAGCCTCAGAAACTGGTCCTCGTATCCTGGGTTACTAAAATTATTCTGTAGTTTTTCAGGAACTATTTCTTTCCGTGTACAACGTATGATGATTAAAAGGAACTTTGACGTTACCGACGGAACATACTGTTTCACATACATTTACTTGGATTTTTCAAGTTTCTTTCGGTATCGTCAATGTTCCTTTTCATCATCATACGTTGTAGGTTTGTCACATTTAATTTTTTGTTTTTTCTCAAAATTTCTTATTTCCTTCTCGCAATCGTCATTTTTATACTTCAGGTCACTTACGCTTTTTATAAATATTCTCAACTTTGCTTAGGAATCTTTAAATCGAAAGTTTAAAAAAAATGTATTCACGGTAAGCAAAATGTATTCACCGTAACCCACCAATACGGTTTTGTCGCGAAAACGCATTCACCGAATGTCTCCACCAATACTTTTTCTCTATTCTGAATACTTTTTTTACTGGGTAGGTGAGTTGTAACACCGGGAACTGTTGTGGATTTTGCAATTTTTCCGTAAACCCTTACAACTTTTTACATTTTTCATTTTTGATTTACATACTACACAAAACTATCTATCCAAAAATACAAAGCTCATAAAAATAGGACAATTTTTGTCTGAGTTAAACTGGATAATGTAAAAATCGTTTCAACTCACCTCGGTCTCCCCTACACTTGAGAAAATTTGCCCCATATACATTTAAGACTTTTTTGTCTTTTCTGGATTTTTTGTTCTTCAAAACAATAAATTAGGCCAGAAAAATTAAATTTTAGCAATGCGCAGAAAAAAGTTTGATATTAATATCTATACTAAATAGAAATGTAATAAATTTCTTAATTAAACTTACTATTAACACTGGCATCTTCGTCTTGTAAAGTAATAAAAAGTGAAAAATAGGAATCGTATCGTTCAGGTAGTTTAATATGGCGACAGAGTTTCTGAAAAATATATTTACATTACTATATATCTTCAAGCTTACAAAATTATTTAAATGCTCATATCTTTTGAACGATTTAAGATAATTAAGTTTCATTTTCTATATTTAACACACAAGAAAAGAGGCACTTTAAATCAGTAATAATTATTAACTATAATAATCTTCGAATTATTTCTTTCATTTAGTCTGTCCACCCTATTAAAAGTACCCACATGGGATCTTACGTGGGTTCTTATACAAAAACCTGTATAAAATCCCAGATCCCACGTAAGAATCCACATGGGATCCCATGTAAAAGCACATGTATATTTGGGACCCCAAGTAGAAATGTAATACTGGCATAGTACTGACCCAGTACTGACTGCCAGTTTAGCAGTACTGACTCCATTACTATATCAGTACTGGGAAATCCCAGGCTGGTAACGCTGTCCAGTACTGATTTTTTACCGGCAGTCAGTACTAAGTCAGTATTAAAATATCACTGGCAGAACACTGCCTGATTACTGATTCGCAGGTAAAATTTAGTAAATTTGGAAAATGCTGTAACGCGTTCTCTGAAACAAAATTTATCTTTAGAAGCTTATATTAATTTGTTATTTGATTATTAAAGAAAAAGGAGTAATTTATTGAATACTAATAATTATTATTAATATTTCTGTAGTATATAAACTTTCATAAGTTGAGACGAACTTCGCGAGTCTTTTAATAATTCTAAAAAGAGCGAAAGTCAGGGTTCGGCTCGCGATGGCCGACACAATAATTTGAGCAGAGATTCCATAATCCAATAAAAAGGGCAATCCAACCTGCGACGTAGTTCGATGAGCAGTTGCGAATCGAGACGAGCCACACAGATGAGTAAAGATTGATCAAACTTACCAAGTTCGCAGATTGTTGGATCGTTGATAAGACGAAAAATAATCCTATTATGGAGAAGGCGCACAACACAAGAAAACAATAAGATTAATAATTGAAAAACATTTAATAAAAGAATAAACTTAAATTATATACAAAATAACGAGGATGCGACGCAGCGCATCGATTACGCGCGGAAAATCGCGGTTGGAAGTCTCGCTTCTCCCTGATGAAAGAATCGCTTGAGATCGTCATCGTAATCCATAACACGTTTCGTGTGTGGCCCGATGACACCCGAATATATAATTCGGTTAATTACCGAAGGTTGCGGTACCTTATGGGCTATCGCTGGGCGCGATAAGTTGTAAGATGGAGAAACTACGAGAACGGCATATTTACAAAAATAAGGAAAACGATTCTGATCGTTACAATTTCCCCTTCTTAAATTGCCGCTTCCGGTCGTTTGTCTAAGTTCGATCAATCGTTCCCATTTGACTCAAAAATTTCACCTGGTACTCACTCGTCTCGATAATTAAGAATTTTTCTAAATGAAATTTAAATAGAAAATATTAAATAATCGTTAAGTATATCAAATAATAAAAATTAAAATGTTTTAATAAATGATGGCTCGCAACTGCTCATTTTTTGAATGATAATTTTTAATTGATATTCGATATAATAATAATAATAAACGCATTTCTTTTAAATCGCTTAAATGATTAACGTTTGTAATGAATGTCATCGGCGTTGTTGCAGAAGTCAACTTTTTCTTTGTGAATTTTGTTAACTTCTTATCAACCAAGTCATGCGCTTTAACTTGATCTTCCTAATGATCCTCCGATATCATCCTTCCATGCTCGAATAGTGCAGAGACTAGATTTTCTACGCACTCAAATGGTTGGCATTCTTGAAACTTGGAAACGACAGCAAGTTGTTTGTCGGTCCATGGCAACGAAAAAATGGGTGCCAGGAAAAAGCGAGTGATCAGCAATGATGTTGATGTTGAGACATCCTTCTGACTTCAGAATCATGGTTTGTGCGATGTAAATGCATTCGCGGTAAACCATTGTCGTTTTTTGGTGTGAGAAGCGATTGGCGCGTGTTCACACATTGATCCTGTACTTGTGGTAGTACTTGTATGCGTTGTGGTGTTGGTTAACATTGTAAAAATTTATTTATAGTTTCGCTAATACCTTTAAATTCATCTCGGGTCTTGGACATTTGGTCAGACAGCTTGATTGAATTGCGATATAGTGGTGCGTGAATAAATAATAAAATAATTGTAGACTTTCGGAATCAGGTGATGAGAAAATGCGCATGACCTTGGTTTCCAAGAAGCTAAGTTCGGAGGCAGTGTAGCCGGCAAAAATGTCCATGCTTTGAGTCACCTAAAAAAATGGAGAAGTAGTTCCAAGCGTTGCTCCTCTTGATAGTTAATCTACAGTTATTTACACAATACCTAATTGTCAATGTTTATAAAATTTAATTTAAGTTTAACTTTAAATTTTAATTAAAAATTTAGACGCGGTTCGTATTAACATTACACAATTTTTCATTGTTATGTAATAGGCTTTAATTTGCAAAAGACAATAAGAAATAATTAATTAGCACGTTAGCTGAAATCAAAATAAGGAAATCAGCTGTTCTTAATTGGAAAAGATATTTTTTAACCTTCCAAATAAAATAAATAATAATCGAACTCAAAAATTGACATTAAGGCAATGCGAGACTTTTGAGTACTTTGACTATAGACTTGCCAGCTGTTGCAGATTCGCAAGTAGTCGGCTTTGCTGTAGTCAGCGGCGCAAGCAAGGTAAGCTGGGCCTACGATACGCGATAGTTCAGCGCTGCGGAGGGGAGCCCTATGCTAGAGTCTAAATACATTGTCTCGGTCTTCAGGCAAAGGCAATGTTCGTCTTCGCTTTTGGATTTACTTGTGAAATCTCCGTTGCCAAACGGTTAATCAATTGTCAAAGCAATTTGAGGGAGGCACCTTCGTTCCTAGGTGTCCGCTATTGGAGGTACTAGTGAATCTCTACCAGCCAGACACATCAGGTGTCAAAGCAATTCGACAGAATCACCTTCGCTCCTTAGCGTCAGCCTTAGGAATTACTCGTGAGGTCCCTGCTAGCCAGACGCTTGATTGTGCGTTACAGCAAGTTGGGAAATCACCTTCAATCCTTAGTAAAACGATTGCTACACGTATAATAGCACGTTTTATTATTTAAATCGCAGTATTATTTTTATTTCAAAGTAGATATATTTGTTTACTTTTAAATTTTAGGAATTTTTCGGATTAGTTGAAATATTTTTATTTTTGAAAACACAATTAATGCATTCTGAATTTTCGCTCTTTTTTTAGATAATTAAGCGCTTCTATAATTGCCAGCCCAGTAAAAAAGGATTTTTTAATATAGCACTTTGGACGATTGAGCAAAACGACGAATATCTGAAATGATCCATATAAAAACAAATCATTCCACTATTAATAGAAAGGAAGATATTTTCACTCTAAACAGAACTTTTTTTCCTCTTCTCAGACGTTTAGACTCTTGTATATAATGACACAACAATAACACAACTTGCTCCCTCTATGATAAAACTGTGTTTACATTCGGTTCATTGACTTTTTCTTTATCTTGATTCTTTTGACTTTCTCGAAATAGCAAATTTTTAATTTATTTCAGTTGACACTGAACTAGTGTGCTGAAATGTCTTCCTCTCATATGAAGAAACTTTTCTTTTTTAATACATGTGGAAATTTTTATAAAAAAATATTTTTTCTCTATGAAATCTTTTTTATTTTGACGAGGTAGAACGCGATTTTTATGTTCTAACGAACCTGGTAGGATATTCTTTAAACATATTTTTAGTATAGTGTTGTTTTAAACCTTTATAAATATTGAAGTGTTTTTCTGTTTAAATAAATTTAGCCTGATGAGGTTGGCAAACCTTAGCCAACGAAACGTCGCAATTTTGACGATACATTGAATTTTTTCAATTCTTCACCTTCCCATGATCATTTATTTTACTACTAACGATTGAGCAAGCCGTCTGCTCAATTGTCTAAACGGCATTTGGACAATTGGACTGGTTGCTCAATTATCCGATGCATTAGGTCCAATCATCCCAAATGTTTTTCGTGGCTAAAAAACTGCTGAATTAAGAAAAAAAGTACTGAAATGTTACAGAAACTTTAGAGAATTCTTAATTCCAGACAAATACAGAAAAATTAGGTATAAAAATACCTCGAGTGAGGAAAAAGAACAAGATTTCTAAAATATCAGTTTTTAACTGACAGTGCAATGCTGTACTTGGAATTTAGTTGGCAAAGAAGTGAAAATTCTGATAAAGAGAAACACTTCATTATCCACTCTCAATACTCCTCATGTGGTAATATATTGTAGATTTCGGTTTCTCATTTTAAAAAAGAGATAATTCAGCAAAATAAAATATTATTGTTAATACACTATTATTGAAAATCTACAAATATACATATTACCACATGAGAAGTATTGAAAGTGGATAATGAAGTGTTTCTCTTTATCAGAATCCTCACTTCTTTGCCAACTACAGCTACCAAAACTTTCACCGCGTTTTTCTCAAAACCACTTTTTTCGAGACGCATGCTTATTCCCGAAATCTTTTTTGACCAAATAGCTATTTGATGTAAAACTACTTAACTTAAAATTCACATAATATGCACATTATTTGACATAAATTTCATTGCACACAAAAACCATTTAACATAAATATCATTTGTCATAGAATTCATTAAACAGAAATATTATGTTACATAAAACTCAGATAACATAATTCCCATTTGACATAAAAATTATGTAACATAAATTTCTATTGACATAAAAATCATTTAACATAAATTTCTTTTGACATAAAACTCATTTAACGTAAATTTTATTTGTAATAAAATTCATTTGACATTAATTTCATTTGGCATAAATGTCATTTAACGTGATTCTCATTTGACATAAATATCATTAGACATAAAATTAGCTTGACATAAATTTTATTTGACGTGAATATCATTTAACATAATTATTATTTAAGGTAAAATTAAATTTATATAAATTTCATTTAGCATAAATTACATTTAACATAATTCTCATTTGGCATAAAATTTACTTGACA